CCCCATAAACATAAACAAGGCAAGAAAAAAAAACAGTCAACCACCCATAAACACAATCATGCCTAGAAAAAAAAACAGTCAACCACCCATAAACACAATCATGCCTAGAAAAAAAAACAGTCAACCACCCCTTTAAGAAATTAACCATTTGTAGGGTTAAAACAATTATCCACTGTTGCTATGTGTGAGGTATATAGCAATATAACTAAACTATGTGTTTGTAAGACACATTTGTCTCTCTTGCCTCAAAATAATCCATTACTGAACCAGCACAAGCTGATCTGTGGTCACAAATGAGCACATGCTGTCCCAACTTCCATATATACAGTACACACTTTTCATGAGGATGGAAACACACCCACACACTCATTCACACAGATCACTCGGACTCTGAGATTTCCATGCCATCCACCAGCAGCATGTGAATGATGCCATCTCGTCTCTTGCCGCTGCTTACAGCCTTGATGCAGCAGTCATGGTCACCCAGAGTGAAGTGTGTCTCTGTGCCGTCATCAACAAACTCACCCTGAGGGAGAAAGACAGGGGAAATGAATGTTTTACTCCTGAATGAATGGTAGTTATGGTAGTCACATATGTTGTGGAACAGGTATGTTCGGTAGGGCTGTGACCACATCTACTTTGACAGCGTCACATGTCAGTATTTTTGTTTTTATCTTTGCCCTGTTGATTTTGTTGGGTCACTTAATCTAACTAGCATCAGATGGTAGATTTAAAGTTTTATTTTGCTTATTTTATTACAGGTAAAATGCACAAACATATAATTTCAGTCTGGTTAGATTTTTTTTTTTAAAGTCTGATCAGCTGTTGTTTACTGTAGTCACACTCGGGGCGGGGGGGGGGTAGTTATTATTTCATACATGTACATAAGAAAATAATGCTTTGGGTATCATGAACTAACAATGAATGATAATTTTTATAGCATTTATCATTTTAGGCTCATATTAAGTTATACACTTTTTAAATACATTTTTAAAGTTAATAAATATAATGTTTATTGTTAACTTAAATTCACTCATAATTCATTACCTAATGTTAATTTATACAGCTTGAACTGTTAAAAAGTTAAAAAAAAAAAAAAAATCAACATTAACATAGATTAATAAATGCTTAACAAATATTGTTCATTGTTAGTTCAATAAATAAATAAATAAGTTTAGCAAATGAATGTAAATGGATAAAGTAACTGCTGGACTTACAGCCGTTTCCATTTTCTGTCCATTGCACCATATATCCATGGTATCTTTCTCTGTTGAGGACAGAAGAGTTTATAAGTGATCAATTAGCAGGTTGCAGGATGAGTGATAAAGATAAAAACATAAATATAAATCCTACTTTACCATACAAGTCTCACTGACTCACCTTCACTGCTCTGATCTGTGACTTACTGTAAATCTAGGATCTCAGCATTATCCAATGTGTGTCTGCCATTGTGATTACACATTCTTTTGTCTTGTGCTGAGCTTTTCTTGTTGGCACTTGACTTGTCTTTTCAGTCACATTAGTAGTCATGAAATAAATGCATGAAAAAACATGCAACTGGGAGGAATTAAATGCACAATACTGAATTATTCATCTGAAAAATGGGGAGTTCTCTATATCAGCCTGTTGTCTCATTCTGTGTTCGCTATCACTCCGATTGAAAATTAAAGTGGTTTGATATTTTATTCAGACTTTATACTGACAGGTTCAGCAGGACCTGTGATTCATAACTTAGTGGCAAGTCTTTAAAAAAATCTGTCCTTGCCCACCACTCATTGCTACACCCCTGATATATAAGCCATATAAACAGATAAATCAAAGGTCAGGAAAGTCCTTGGAAGTTTCTCTTTGATAGTTAAACTTAAAAGTGTTATCTAACTAAGTCATATGCTCTATTGGCATGAGCTGATAAAAGTGCTAATGTTCAGTAAAGCTTGATATCTGCTCACTAGTACAAATGCCTTTACGATGTGATACGAGATTTGAAAAGGGAGAAAAAAAAGTTTGGCAAAAGGCGGGATCGTACCCGGGTCGATCGCGTCAAAAAAGCCGACGACACGCATTTAACCATCTGCACCACTGGAGTTAATTTCGTACAGCTGCTTTTAAAGGGTTGACTAGCCCAATCACACGTTGGAGAGCGGCAGGCACGTGCACAGGTAGGGCTCAACCTGTTTTTGTTTTCAAATTTGTCATTGTGTTTTCTGACTTGTTATAATGTTTTCTGAATTGTTGTTGTGTTTTCTGAATTGTTATTTTGTTTTTTAGACTTGCATTTGCGTTTGTAATTTGTTATTTTGTTTTCAGAATTGTGATTTGTTTTGCACTTCTCGGCCACCGTACACTAGCGCCCCCATGAGGTTAACAAAACTGTTCGAAAACATTTGTGTTTTATTACTAGAGAAGCTCCTCCTATTGTCAAGCACTAATTACTTAAAGGGATTTGTAATCTTTTTTTAACCTTCATTTAACCTAGAGTTAATCACTGCTGCTGTGCGGCAGGGCACAGAGGTTAAGTGAGGCAAGGCTTTCAGCATTTCAGAGAGCAGCTGTACTGTATATACTGTACTGTACTTGTTGGGGGAATGAGAGGGAAAACTTCATCACTGACCACTGAAATCATCACATATTTATTTGAGGAACCTGTGACCAGGTATTCCTTACCCAGAACCACTCTGCAGTCGATGCCATCAAGGTTGAGGAGCCATGTGCTGGTAACTTTGGAGCGATTCTCCATGTACTTCTTCAGGCTCTGTCCGTTAATCTCGAGAGTGTATTCATATGCAAAGCCGCTCACTGCATCTATGTTAATAGTGGCCTTTGTATTTGTACCACCCACATGAAAAGTCTCCTTTCCAACCAGTTTGAACATCCAATCTCTCCTTATGACTTCCTGGGACAGTTATGAACAAGCCTGTGAGGCATCGGCACTTATTTTCCCATCATTATAATGAAAATACTCATGTCACATATTTCTAAAACACTAAAATCAACATCATCAACTAATGGAAAAAAAAATCCATAATTACACAGCTCTCTGGAATACAGATTGAAAACTGCATAACTGACCGTTGGCCCTGCCTGGCTACTGATTTTCTACATAGATTTTCTTCAGTAAATTCAACAAATGGCAACAAACTAACTGCAACCTTTTCATTTATTTTCATCATTGTTTTGGTCTAAATCTCTATATTATCTATAATTAGCAACCCTACATAGATTTTCTACATATATTTTCTTTAATAAATTCTAAGTATATATACTGAACTTCAACAAGTATTTTCCTGAGTGTCAGCTTTTTGTACTAGAAATTCTTACCTTTCCATCGATGTAAATGACCCGTTTTCCTGTGGTTGTGCCATGTTCAAATTCAATCCTGTGCACACCATCACTCAAAGCCACGTCCCACACAGCTACAAGATCTCCTGACATCATCTGTCCTCCAGTGCCTAACAAAAAAACAATACAGATAGATATGACTGAATTGCTCATATTGGCTAGTAATAATAGTAAACATGAGAATAGGCAAAAATGTTTTATGAGAAGAGGCAGAGCAGAGAAGATGAGTAACGTTACAGTGTACAAACAGGAACATATAAGAGAAAGTATGTATAATAAATATATATAGAAGAAACGACATTATGAATAGATGTAGACATTTGTGCTTAGTGATTAATTATTTGACAACGTAATTTACTGCTGTGAATCTTTTGAATGATGATCTGTTAAATTTACAAAACAATATCACTGGATTTTGAGCGACATAAAAAGGTTGAACGTCTGTCTGTCTTGTTTCATAACCAATAACTTAAATGCTAAACATTACCTATAATAATAAAGAGTAACGTAAAACACTGATAGCATTGTCAAACGCCTTGCGTAGAGAATGGAAAGAAATCGTGCCCTGAAAATGATTGGTAACACGATTTTCTATGGTAAGAATACTTTAAGAAATCTTGACAAAGTAGGTGGTTGGCGATGTGTCAGAGCCATTAAATCTGTGAACCTGAGTAAGCTGTCGGTCATTCAAAACACAAGAGTCAGAGCATTAAAGACAATAATAAATACATGTAGTTACCGATCCAAATCAGAGCAGAAATAAAACGCTTTTGTGTATATTTGATTAGCTTTTCCTCAAGGCAGAAAATAGTAACACAACTGACGCCAACACAACTAGCTCCAAATTTAGCCAACAACAAAGCTGCTCCAGCTAACAACAGTTACTATGGCAACAGCTTATTCTTCTTCTACCCGCGTTTATGTAGGTTTAAACGCCACATTAGACTCTACTGACATCTGCTGTCAGCAAAAACAGAGCTGTTAGGATGAACGACGGGATGTTGCCCATTGAATGAATGCTACACATTACTGAACTTTTCAGTGCATATACTGTACACGCTTACACATCCATACACGTACATGCAGAGTCTCTCAGAACTAAAAGGTGGGCATGGCTCACCAATCTGTGAAAAACTGCATCTATAAATTGTGGAACATGTTTCTCAACATACAGTTGCAAAGACTTTGAATATCTCATCATCTACAGTACATAATATCATCAATGGATTCTGAGAATCTGGCGAAATCGCTGTGTGCACTCTTAAAGAGACAAGGCTGAAAATCTACTGGCTGCCTATCTTTGAGCCCTCGCTGCATTGAAAACAGGCATGCTGTAATGGATATTGCTGTATGGGCTCAGAAACAACTCCAGAAATAATTTTCTGTGACATTACAAAATATACAAAAAAGGATTTAATAACAGAATGTACATTTTTAGGTTTACTTATTTAGTAATGCTCTTACAGTGTTACTTATGTTTGGACATCAAAGCCCTTTTAAAATAACTAACAAGCAAACACACACACACACACATATATAATTTTGCTAAAGAAAATTACAGATGCATGGTGATATAGGCGAAATATGTTGTGAAATATGCATATAAAGTTATTTAATAAGCTTTCTCAGATCACCTGTGTTTTCTAGATCTCTGTCAGCAGCTTCCTTCAGAAATTTTAAAATCAGGAACTTCTCCTGTGTCGTTGAGTTGTTGTTGTTTTTTTCGCTTCTGAAATCACAGAACAAGTGGTATCAATATGTTTACCATGAAAGATCAAAACCTCTTTTAATTAACGTAAGTTTCAGCCCATTTTCACGCTCCATGTGACGTATCCGGTATCCGATTAACTGTAACAGTTATAGGTTAATTTAATTAGCTTACTTCCATTCACCAGTGACAAATTGCCAGCAAAACCTTTATATAAAAAACGCTCATCTACACATAAGATGACATTAAAAGCCCAAACTTTCAGAAACAAGAGCTTAAGTCTATAGTTAACCTTATAGTATGCCTTACGGTTGAGATGCTAACGGACTTTTCCCGAAGACACTAAACCATTTCTATAAAGTAAATATTCAATGGAAGCGTGTCCTTTACATGAAAGAAAGTGTCAGGAACGCTTGTATGTAGTATTTGTGTAATTTTAGAGACTAAACTTACCTGAAATTAGTGAAAAAAACAGTGAGAGACGGGAGTTGCTGCTGACAGTTGAGCTGCCGCCCCGTTTCCATGGTGACTTCCTCCGCTCCGGTTCAGCGCGCGCGCCCATTAAAGCACGTAGAAGTCACGCAGAATTTATAATATAATATAATATAATAATAGCTTTAGAAATGGTAAACGTGGTGTAGAAATAACATTGACTTTTTTTTTTTAAACGCATGAATATTCCTACACATCACATGTATCATGAGGAACAATTTTTAAGCTTTGTTTTATGTATTTTATAGGCCTACTTGGAATTTAGAATGCAGTTTCATGTTTTTCATTTGCAGAACAAAATGAATGAAAATTTTTAACTTAATGATATAAAAATACAATACAAAGATGTGTTAATACTAGGGCTGCACGTGTTAATACTAAGAAACTCTTTGACAAAATTACAAAAATACAAATAAATAATGTTTGATAGGTATAGCACATCTCTTATCACAGCATAGTTGCCTTAATAAGCACAATCATGGCACAAGTTGCAATCAGTTTTTTTTAGAGCAGAAGCGCCACATGTATCATGAGGAACAATTTTTAAGCTTTATGTTTTATGTATTTTATAGGCCTACTTGTAATTTAGAATGCAGTTTCATGTTTTTCATTTGCAGAACAAAATTAATGAAAAATTTTAACTTAATGAAATAAAAATACAATACAAAGATGTGTTAATACTAAGAAACTCTTTGACAAAATTACAAAAATACAAATAAATAATGTTTGATAGGTATAGCACATCTCTTATCACAGCATAGTTGCCTTAATAAGCACAATCATGGCACAAGTTGCAATCAGTTTTTTTTAGAGCAGAAGCGCCGAACAACAGTGCAGCCATAGGGCTGTCAGTAGGATCTTGAGTCATGTTAAAGGTTTAGGGAGAAAAATGTTTTTGATTATTTGAATATCTTTCATTCATTCATTAATTAATTAATTCAAAAACAACAACAACATCTTTTAATCCATTTTTCATTTAATATTATAAATGAATCCATTTTAAGCCATACATTTATAATGTTAATAATATACATTTTATTGAATATTTCATAATATGAAAATGTATTTTCAAGCATTAAAGAAAAATGATTGATTAAAGAAAACATTATCAGTAGTTATTTGTCCCTTTTGTTATAAAATTACAAAGAAAACAACAACAAAAAAGACAATTGCTACAAAATCAGTTATGAGGAAAACTGTTATTATAAAAAAAAAATATTATAAAAAAAATTTAAATGGTCATAAATTTATATATTCAAACAGTAAAGCATAGTCCACACCTTGCATCACTTGGCCCACCTTGCATCTCAGAGCTAGAGCTGGGCTTGCAAAATAACAATATTTATTTATTTATAAATAATAATACAATATATTTATTTATATATAAATAATATTTATTTATTTATTTTAGTCATTTATTTATTTTAGTCATTTGTTATTATTATTAATTATTATTATTATTATTATTATTATTATTTTTTACAATTTACAATTAGTTTGAAAAGAGGAAGATGGAGAACATTTAACCCACCTATGGACAGGGGTCACCATGGGCATCAGTGAGCCTTGGGAGCCCATGACCTCATTCCTTGCACCACTTTTGGTAGTTATATAAGATTATTACAGAAACAGTTCACATGAAACCAAAATAAGACCTATATTTCAAAGCATTTATGAGTCACAGCCATTTAAAGTTGACTCTTTCATATGCTCAAAAAGGCATGCAACAGATAACGATTTAAAATTGGAAGATGAAGGAGGAGTGTCTAGTCAGTTTTATCTAAAGTGAATTTCATGCTTTAATAAAGGCAACAGTGTTTATCAAAGAAATAAGCTTGATCTCCCCATCTGCCGTTCCAAAATGCTCTTTCTCCCTATGTGTCTTCACGAAATGACCTTTTATTTGACCTTCTTCTTCACTCCGAAAAGCCACTGGTGTTTTAATCTTCGTCTTGTGCATTTGCATTTGTTTTTTTTATGACACCTTAATAAAAGAGACAAAGAATGAAGACAAAAAAAAAACCACTATTACTAATAAATGGTTCCTCTTTATATTTAATATGAAGATCTATCAAGAAACTCTAGGGCGCAATCCTTTTTTCCTTTCCGGACAAGTAGCTAACTTTTTACTTGGACAAGTGACCGATTTCCGAAGGTTGCCCAGTCTCGGTCGTGCATCAGGCGGGTTTTTTTCCCCAACAACATAAAAAGCTTCAAGGAGAAGAAACCTGTTCAGTAGCTTAAGTCTACTCTTTTTGAAACGTTAATACAATCATACGACAACACACACAAAACAAAATAACATGAATGCAATGACCAACTCCAATACGTCTATAAGAATTGTATATGAATTGAATATGTATTTATCAAATTAAACGACTTCAGTGCTTTATAATTTTCATTTTGGCCAGGGCTTTTGTCATATGAAGAAACCACATGACGCACATATGACGCAAAACACCCGCGACGCGACGCAGAGATCCTTCGGCGACATTGAGGATCGTCAAACTCACTGGAGTTTGTGAAGTTTCGCGATGGCGTTGCGATTATTTCGGCTGGTTGTGCCCTCGGGTGCAGCAGCTTGTAAAGCAGTATCGCCTGTGGCGACGGTAAGATTGATAAACAGCCTCTCTACACCCCAGACGAAAAGTTGATCTGTTCTGTCGGGCCTCATGAAGTCCAGACTGAAGGACAACAGCAAAACTAAGTTAAAGCTGTGAAAAACACGTCTTACTGTCACACTGATGCATCTGTTCATATGTTTGCTTAATCAATGTTACGTTTATATATACTTGCGTTCACGTAGGTTCAGAGATTACCAGTAGGCCTATATAACAATGAAAACTCCGTATGCAGCTCACACTAGTTCTGTCAAAACAAACTGTTTTGTTGTTTGTATTGAAAAACCGTGTCAGCAATTACTAATGGCTTGACATATGTATAGAGATATTGCAGCTGATCATGACTATGTATACGCTGTCAAACTACCCTATTTGCAGGAAAAAATAACATGATGTGTTATACCCTTTAGGCTCAAATCCACACAAGTGCTGTCAGAAACCTGCGGTATGGATGGTGGGCTTATGCTCTGGGGGAGAGGACAACCTCCCGCTTCAAGGAAAACAGCAAGATCATTTCCATTGATGGCAACTTGGCATGTGGAAAGGGAGCGCTTGCACAAAAATTGGCCGATAAACTGGGTAAGACAATATCTGGCTCCATTTGTTTTAAAAATGTTTTTTTATATATGTTAAGTGCCTGTGTGTGTGTTCGTATGTGTATGTAAAATAAAATGATTAAATGTGTCTCTCATCAGGAATGCTGTACATGCCAGAGCCAGACACACACTATGTGGACAAAATGACAAAGGAGAAAGTTCCTCTAGATAAGGCTTTTAATGGAAACTGCAGTCTGGAGAAGTTTTACTTGGAGCCCAAAGCCAGTGATGGTAACTCTTACCGCCTGCAGTGTTGGATGTACCTCATGAGGCTGCTGCAGTACTCTGATGCTGTTGAACACCTGCTCTCTACAGGTAAAACAAACCTGTTTGATACTCCATAGCTGTTCACTTGAATAACACACAGTTTGATGTTGTGATTGAAAATGAAAACCTTACAGCACAAGCATATTTTCTCTGTTTCCCTTTCTCAGGACAGGGAGTTATTCTGGAACGTTCTCCATTTAGTGACATTGTATTTTTGGAGGCCATGTTCAAAGAAGGCTTCATCCGAAAGCAGTGTGAGTGATTATGTCCGAAATTCATAGTTTAATGGAAACTATAAGAATTTCTGTGATGGTTTCTATAGTTTTTTTCAGCAGGGTAATGATACCCATACTGTGCTGCACATTATTGACAATATTGAGCTGAAGCTTGACTTTGCAAATTTAAAATCGCAAATCAAATCGCAATATCTGTCAAAAAAAATCGCAATTTGATATTTTCCCCCAAATCGCACAGCCCTAATATGAAATAATGTAAATAGTGAAAAAATGCTGGTGGTCATATTACAGCAGATAGTATATCAGAGCTGTTTTTTGTTTATTGAAATGAAAAGGATGTATGATATATGTTGCTATTCTGCAGGTGTGGATCACTATAATGAGGTTAAGGGCGTCAGTATCTGTGAGTTTCTGCCCCCTCATCTGGTCATCTATGTGGACGTACCTGCTGAAGAGGTCCAGAAAAATCTCAAGGCATCAGGAAAGGTTTGCGTGAGGTGGCGAACACACTGATTAGACTATCTGATGGTTGAAATAATTAATCTTTTGATTTTAATGTACAAAAATAATATTTTATTATTAATAAATTTTAAACCACCTTGATTTTTTTTTTTTGCCACCTGGGAGTTTTGTATATGTATAATTGGGGAAACAAATGACAAAATATTTTTATATTTTGACATTTGTTTTTTATATTTTAGTAATTTTTTTGTCAAAATAAAAATAAAAATATTTTATTTTTTATACAAAATATAGTCAAGCAAGTTATGAAGCGGTTTTTCTATTTCAGCTTTCATGCTAAAACTATCTCAGCTTTCTGACTAGTAAGGGCTCTGAGTAAATTTTTTTCTGAGTAAAGATTTTGATGAATGCAGGAAGGGATGATTATAAAATGGTGACTGAATGACCAACAGCACATGAGGGAATTAATTACGCGTACATATTAGGTGTGTTCGACTTAAAAGCAGTGCGGCTCAGACCGATCAGTGTTTGACATCAATGTACCTCGAGAGCGTTTCGAAAGCATAACCGTCTGTATGGTACTTTGATGTCATAAACCGATCGGTCTGCACACGCAAACAAAGCCAAAACCTAGATATTTTAGGCAATATAGAAATCCTGGCCAGGACGCGTCCTGGGAAAATGGCACGTGTGGTCACCCTATGTATATATATATATATCAGTATTGTAATGTTTGTTTTATAGTATCATTAAACATTTTTCTTAGAGGATTATGAATTATTGTTTTCTTTTCATTTGACAAAAAGTAAGTTAAAAGCAGGTGCTTTAATCTGGTGATGTGAGTATATCAAACAAGTTTTCAGTTTTAGTTTTAAAAACTTATGTCTGATTTTCAGTGAAGAGGCAGAGGTTCTTGCCTATAACGCAACCCAAGCCCAGGACATTGAGAGGGTAAGGATCGAACCTGTATATGGAGGACATTGAGGCAGGCAAATGTCATTGCTCTGACTCTATTTTTCCTTTTCAGGTTGTGGAGGATATCGAGTACCTCAAGTTTGAGAAGGGTCCTTGGCTGGAGCAAGATGACGTCACTTTCCACCATATGCGAATGTTGTGAGTGCTTGATTTATTTACATTTCACCATTTTATTTTCTTCTGTAGACTGTTCCTTGTGCTGGCTGGAATTATTATGTCATTTAGTTCTGGTTGGCAACATCAAACACATTGAATAAATCTTTGTTGATATCATACTTGCTTTAGTTATTTAACTGATAGTAATATGCATTGCTAAGAACTTCATTTGAACAACTGTAAAGGCAATTTTCTCAATATTTTTATCTTTTTGCACCTTTAGATTCCAGATTTTCAAATAGTTGTATCTCGGCCAAATATTGTTCTATCATAACAAACCATACATCAACAGAAACTTATTTATTCAGGACAAATCTCTTTCAAATCTCTTTCAATTTCATAAAATTTACCCTTATGACTGGTTTTGTGGTCCAGGGTCACATATATATTTTATTATATGATTAATTTCACATTTTTAATTGTGATTTAATTATGATTACCAACCTAATAAATGATACCAACCATCTGATCTAAGCATGTCATGTCAGTAAATGGAAAAGTGAGCCAGCTGTTTGTTTTCTTAATTATTGTGCCTTTAGCAACAACAGTAAAAACAATAATTTAACAGTTTTTCAATAATGGAAAAATATGTAAATTTAATTACTTTGAACAATACTGAAAAACAAAAATATATATATTAGTTCAGTTTAGTGCAGAATAAACTTTGCATTGCTGACACTTCAAGAATCAGAAACATTTGCATGTATATAGTGAAAAGCAGAGAAAGAAAGGTTCTGTTTTTGTGCTATTTAGTGGTTCAAAGAAAATGAAAGCAAATGTGCCTTTTCTCCCATTTTTCCCCATTCACTAGCATGGAGGACAAGCAAAGAGTAGCCAACATGACCTGCATCCCCAGGTATCTTCCAGAAGTCACAGTCGGTGCTCACGAGTTTGATGCTGCCTACTATGCTTTCAAATCGGTATGTGCCCTCCACTGTGCCACTAAATGTAAAAGACTGATCATAGACTACATGTAATGGGTTGCACGTGTTTAAAATCTAATTTTGTCCATGTGCAACTATGTCTGAACTCTATTAGCTATTCTTATTTAGAATGACAGGTGATATTAACTCCATTTATTAGAGAGAATGGAGCAGTGATGCTTTGGGTGTCTTCGTGTTGATAGATCCACCTTAAATTATATTTTTGCCAGATACATTTGTGTACAAGTTATTGGGTGTCCAGGAGCCCAGTGTCCCAACAAGTGCCTGCATAATGATTGAGTATTTTAGCAAAGCAGGAGTGTCACCTGAGGACATTCAGTGATATCGGTGGCATTACAAAATCAGGAGACAGATAGACTTCTAGAGTGGGTGACAGAAACACTTTGTATGGCCATTAATGATTCCTGGCACTGTTATATTGATCTTGGGGAGTGATGAGCTCCTTGTCGTGTTCAGCCGTCAGATTTTTCATCTGCTCATCTGATCACCACCTTGTCAGTCCTTGCACTAGAACATATGGAGCTTTACCTCAGCCGAGAGAACATGTGGAAGTGGAGCTCATGAATATAGATTACGTGTCTAGTCTTTTACTTTATTTTATTTTCAATGTATTTCTTTAAAGGTCACTGTAAAATGTTGCCATTGAACACCGGGGCTTTAAAGAATCAAACATGTGACATGAAAATCTCTCCTTAGCTCCCAGGAAAGAAGTACGCTGAAGGTTATAATGAAGACGTCGGGGACAAAGGCATCTGGCTGAAGTGAGAAACGCTGTTGTCGCTGGAGGGAAGGACATCTGAAAGACCGATTCCTTGTGGTATTTCAACCATTTGTCCATGTCTTGTGGGAAAAGATATATTCTGCTCTTATGCAGCTGAATATATCATTGTACATTGCTATTAAAACATTTATTGTATATGTTAAAAAACTTGTTTCCTTTCATTTCGAGTCAGTGTTGTTCTTGGGTGGGATCTTGTTGAGGTTAACTTAAACTGTGGTTCTAAGGTCATGGTCCCATGAGGCCCCTGGACACATATTTGGAGACATTTTTGATCAACTTCCTTTGGCAATGACAGGTCATGTGGCAGTAGTCAGAGGCCCTTAATTCAGCCATGACTGACTATTCCAAGTAGATGCTAATACAGACTAATACATCTTACAGGTCTTGTAATAAATCACTAAAAATTATTATTGTTAATAAATTTATATTGGAAAAGTGAAAATGGTGCAACAAATGTGACATCTAACTAAGGAAGAATTCTGTAAGGACAAACAAAAACATCTGCCCACCAATATTTTGTTTCATTGCGGTGAGACGATGACTAAACACCCCAATTAAAAGACTTTATATAATTTTTTTTTTTTTTTTTTGAGAAATGGCACAGTGCGAACTGGCCACAGCTCATTAGACATCCGAAACCAGTCGTTTCTCGTCACTCAGAGATGAGATGAGATGAGAGGAGA